GGGGCAGACTAGGCAAAAACTGTCTCAGCATTCTGTGGCTAAAGAACAAGTCAGCAATTCTGTCACAGTTTGCACCAAGGAGTCCTGCTCCTTTTCTTCTTTCTTTGTTCTTTTCCTTCTCTTTCTCCATCTTAATATTTATTAAATGTTTCCTTTTTCTTTGCTTTTTAGTAAGGCAATTGGGGTTAAGTGACCTGCCCAGGGTCACACAGCTAGTAAGTGTCAAGTGTCTGACGTCACATTTGAACTCAGGTCCTGCTGACTCCAAGGCCGGAGCTCTATCCTCTGCACCACCTAGCTGCCCCAAATGTTTCTTTTTAACAGTTAGTTAAATGACCAAATATGTGACAAGCCACTGAAAGTGCAAATATTGAGATAAAGGTAGGAATCCAGTCTTCTTTCTGTTTATGAAAATCATTAAATTCTTTACTGAATAGCCAAAACATAACAAAAGCTATCCTGCAGGCTTCCTGTTGTTTCCTAAGAGAACACCGAGTATAAGGCAGATTTAAAAACAATAACAACAAAAAATACACTGTAAGATAGGGTTATGTCTCTATCAGAATGACTAGTTTATCCTTCAGCTTGAAGAATGTTAGCCAGCCACAATTTGATCTGCCAAACACCAAAACTTAAGATTTTCTTTGCACCCTGTCTAGTCACAAAAGCCAGATGACAAGCACCAAGACAAGATCATGACTGGACAGAAATTTGTACCCATGCTAGGACATCTCCACGATGAACCTGTTTTTACTTTGGCTAGCAGTATGGCTCAGTCCACTGAAAATGCTTCCCAAGTCACAACCTCAGACATTGTTTAGGTCCCCCAAACACTGAAGACAGTCTATACATATCTCTATAATTCTGTTCCTGTCTCTGATATACCAAGTATATATTATGGAGTTGTTTATAAAAATGACAGCGTAAGGCACAGAGACCTTTTCATGACTACCTGAAAAGCCAAAATGGATTGAATGTTCACCTCCGCTGGGAGCGATCTGTCAGTGTGACAGAGGATCAATGTTCTTGCTTGCAGTCAATTAATACCTACATGCCTAATCTGTTCCCTTCTCCCTTCTATATTTGGTGGTGCTGCTAATTGCATTCTAGGATCCCCAGTGCTACCGGCAATCACTACTATTCAACAAAACAGGAAACATTCACGATGACTTTAGACCTATTGTATTGTTTGGAAATCGAATTCTAGGAGCATTTTGCACTTGGTGAACGAGGCTGAGACAGGGTTGCTGAAAACGCTGCCACAGGATTCCTTTCGTTGTGAGCTATTCCTTGATGGAATTTAATAAATATTCATTAATGGAGAGCAGTATAATTGATTCAGCCACTTTCATTTTTATCAGCTCTGCAGGATACCATAGCCCTCAAAGAAAACGTCTGGGAGTTGCCAAAGGTTGACAGTAAGAAGCTTTTGAAAGGATCTTGGAGAAGGGAGTGAGGTGGAAAAAGCAAGTTAATATCTATTATCATAAGCCACTTACTAAAGCCTTATCGGAAATTAAATACAACCATCGGTATCAACAGTGTGCAGGTCTATGCATTATATGATAAGCTATGAAAAGGTCCAATATATTTTAAAATGAAATGGTTTCAAATCAAGGAGCTTGGTGGTAATTATCAAGGTAGCAATCATTTAGTATGTCAAATCATATGCTTTTTATGTAATATTTACATTTGAACATCCATGTAGTAATTTATTTTCAACCTGTCAAATAGTACAGATTTCCTAGAACATAGAAGGAAAATAATGATTTCAAAAAAGTTTTTTTTGGCCATTCAGAATATCATACCTATGGAGCTATCATTTAAAAAATCTATCTTTTAGGCATCTCTAGTAGTTTCAGCTTAATCACATTCATTATGCAAACTGCAACTTTGTGTGACATTAATTTTCAATTTAAAGATTGCTGTGTTCCATGCCACAGCTATGTAACACCACCAATAGAAATACTGGTATTAAAAAGATGAGTCTTTGTTTCTGTGTGAAATTAGGTATCATTAGAGGAACTTCACAGTTTCCTGAAAGCAATCCATCGTACTATCCTCTTCCTTTTCAATCTAGGTCTCAAATTGTTGTGCATTTGTACTGTCTTTCCTAGACATATATCCTGATGGACAATCTCAAGATCTGTAAGTGATCCATCCGATTCCATTTCATAACTGGGCAACAGATGTTTTTTCATCTACTTGTTTTTTCCTATGTGGACAGTCAGGCCAAACTCTTTTGAGAAATACTTCTTTCAGGAGTCTATGTATTGTTCCAGGGCTTGATGTAACCAGCACAATGTCATCTGCAAAGAGCATTTGGAGGTCCTCACCATCCACAGCACCTCCATACCTTTCCAGTCTTATACCTTACATTTCTTACATACTCTGTGATCTAGTGACACAAAACATTCCATTTCTCTGCTCCAGGCTTTTTTTTTTTTTTTTTTTTTTTAGGCTAGGCAATGGGGTTAAGTGCCTTGCCCAGGGTCACACAGTTAGTGAGTGTTATGCATCTGAGGCCAGATTTGAACTCAGGTCCTTCTGACTCCAGGGTCAGTGCTCTATTCACTGCGCTACCTAGCTGCCCCATGCTCCAGGCAATTTCACTGGTTGTCCCCTATGCATGGAATACTCTCCTTCCTCCTTTCTGCCTCCTGATTTCCCTGGCTTCCTTCAAGTCCCAGTTAAAATCCCACCTTCTGCCTTTCCTAATCTCTTTTAATTCTAGTTTCTTTTGTTTGTTGATTATTTCCAACTTATTCTGTATACAGCCTGTTGTTACATGTTGTCTCCCCGATTAGATTGTGAGCTCCTTGCAAGCAGGGATTGGCTCTGTATCTGCAGAGCTTAGTACAGTACCTGGAACATAGTAGGTGCTATTAAATGTTTGTTCATTGACCACAAGGAATCTCTTTTCAACTGTGTTGGATTTCCTTTAGGATTGAATTTATTAAGCATTAAATATATGCCAAGCACCTAGAAAAACTTAGACAGTCTTTCCTTTCATAGTGCCTACATTCAAATTTAAGGAGGCAGGACATATCAAAAAAAAAAGTTCAGGGTGGATGGAAAAGCCCTGAAGTCCTAAGTGTGCAGCAGCAGGTCAGACAGCAAGGCCCAGGGGCCACTGGGTTACATCAGGAGATCAGATGACAGTGCTGGGTGTCTGCTTAGCACAGAGGCAGGGCAGAGAATAAGGCCTGGTGGTTCTCACTCGGAGGAACAGAGTTGATGATTCCCATCTTATCCAAGCCATGTAAAGAGTCAAGAAGCCCTGGCCAGGTTCTGGACACTGTGGCTAGAGGACATGGCAAAAGAAGAAGACAAGTGGGGAGAGTATTCCTGGTGATGGCAAACACCTTGGGTGAGTATACACTGATCTTCTTTACCTCACCTGATGTTTATGAGCAGAGAGTCAGTGAACAAAGTTTATTTCTGTTGTCATGTGTTTCAAGGGATTTTGAATGGTTTTGATATACAGATGGGAGACAAATTGTTGAAAAAGAGCCTTCAAGGAAGCATTTCACTCCACTGAATCAAGTGATTTTTCATGATCAATAAACAATAAATGCAGCAGGATCTTGTGCTCTCAACTTCTTTCGGTCAATTGTGAGATGGCAAAGATCAGGTCCGTTTTATAGAATATCACTTGTGAAAGCTGGTTCTCTAATAATAACCTTGTTGAGGATGCCCTTAATATGTGTTAATGATTCTCAGGAACATTTGGTACGGATGAGAAAGTAAGCATATCGTGTGGGAGTTGCTGATATCCTCTCCCACCCCCTACCTCTCTGTATTAATAAGGTCTAAGATTTCCCCCCACTTTTGGTATCTTCCTGTCTTTCAGTTACTTTGAGAATTGATGCCTCAGAGGTCAAGAAATTCCCTCACAACCATATTGCCACTAGCATAGCTCTTCTCTTAACCTAATCTTTTTTTCCCCCCATCTTTGTTCTCTTTAGTGCCATTTCTACATCTTCTATAAGTCCATTTGGGGCTGTGAGGTTGGGGGCCAAGTGATGTGATTTACTGCTTTTGATGGTGAAGACAAAAAGGTGAATGATGAAATTCTCAAGGTGGGCCGAGAAAAGAAGCTATTTGGCATGCTTTTGGTGGAGAACAAGCCCCATAAAACTAGAGCCAATATCCAAATAACTGAAGTCCCTATCACTACTATAGCCTGCTTCTGTACGAGGTGTGTAATCTGCTGACTCAATCCCTCACCTACTGCCTTGTTCTATTCAAGTGTCTGCAGTACATGAATCGGGGCTGTTCTTGCTTCTGCTTCTGTGGATCTTCACTCACCTTCTCTATATCAGGTTTGATATCCTCTCTGGATCCTCAAATTACACATATGAATATGGATCCTTGATGTACAGGACTACTTTACTTCACCTGCTCCCTCCCTACTCCCTTCTCCCCATACCGATCCTTCTAAATATGGTATGGTGTTCCAAAGAGCCATTCCAGCCACTGGTCTACTGGTTCATCTCATCAAATATCAGGGATAATCCTGAGATAAAATCTACCATCTTCTGTTAGGATTTCATGCTCACTTTGCTAGTTAGAGTAGAAAGTTGAATTTTGAGTCATAGGACCAAAGTTCAAATCCCAGTTCTGTTATTTCCTACTTGTATGACCTTGGGCAAGTAGCTTAAGCACCATGGGCCCAAGTTTCCTTATGTACCAAATGAACTAAATGGCCTATAATTACCCTTCCAGCTCCACACCTATGGTCCTAATATATTTGAGCCCTGAGATTCCTGGTTCTTTTGTTAATATTTTGTTCACTGTGAACTGTGACTCTTTACTGGTATTTCTATGTTGTAGCTACTTTCTGTTGTATCCAGTTTGATAGAAATCAGCGGTTAGTCTTCCTCCCTTTTCCTTACTTTTCAACTTAAAGACCTTTTAATTAAGTTGCAATTTATTTGTACTCCAACTTCAGAATTTGTCCTTCATTAGATTTCTTGTGGTTACACCCTCCCACTTACTGGAATGCCTGTGAAGGTAACTGGTGGAGACTGCCAAGAGATGCTAAAGCTGCTGCCATTCGGAGAGAATTTTGTGGATCCTGGAATGTTCACCGGGGGAGTAGCCTGTCGAGCAAAAACAGAGAAAGTTACAAAGGAAAAGTCGTCTTCACAGACAAAAGCTGTCACTACCAATTTAGAGCCTCAGAGATGAAGTCAGAACTATATTAATATCTTAAACTAATTATCTGCTAGGGAGGGGGTAAACACAGCAAAAGGGAGTAGGTGCAAAGAATTCTTTTTCCATGCCTACTTAACAGCTCTAGGGGATAAAAGGAGACATTGTTCAACTGTCGGTTTCTAAAAAGAACAAAAAAAAAAGTACCTGGTAAAAATTTCAGGATTTTCTGTCTAGACTATAACCATGAAAAAAAAAAGCAGAGATGTTAAAATTTCCACTTTAAACAAGCACAAATAATTTGTGTCAAGTTATATTATTCTTTCTTCCCAAACAATTAAAAAACCCAACAAAACCAAAAACCATAGGGAAGGAAGTTGATTGTTCCAGAGGATTTAATGATCAACTTTGAGCTACTGTTCTTCCAGAAAGCACTATAATTAGGCAATGCAAAACAATGGGCTGAATAAGAGTTAATTGAAAGGAGAGACTGAACCACCCCCTCAAGCTTCTACCTCTGACCTCATAAATACCCAAGATTCCACCCAGCCAAAGGGGCCCTTCCTAGGGTGCTTACTGCCTCATTTCAAAGACTATATGTAAAGTCATATATTTGAGTGACAGGGAGATACTGTCTGTTATTCCTGCTTCCTTCTCCACTAATACCTTAATTAGCACCAAGGAGTTAAGGAAAAATCCTGGGAGGAACTATTCTCTAAGGATCCTGGAGAAAACCCCTAAGATGTGTCTTTTGTTGTGGTTGTTTAAAGAAAAGGGGCTAAAGAATCTTAGTTTATTAAACTGTAGTATGTAAAGATAACCATGACCCAAAATGCTGCCATTTTGTAAATGCCAGATCATAATGTAACTGTGTGGAGCCAAGGCCTTGGGTAAGCATTCTCACCTGGTAAGCATGGTCAGTATGTACGAGGTAGAGGGTGGTAGGAGCTGATTGGCTCAGAGGCGTCATCAGTTTCGGCTCCGTTTTGGCACATGGCGTTTCAGTACGGCTGGAATCCAAGGTGGAGAATGTTGGAGGAGACACCAAGGATTGAGAGGGAGAAACTGGGGAAAGGTTGCTGAGCCCATCAGCTACTGAATCTGTATTGAGTTTGATTTCTGTGTAGTAAAAATCTTCTTCTCCATCACTGTAGTCTGAGTCACCTATGCGTCTGGAGGAAAAGCAAAAACAACTTTACCAGTGATTCATGTTTATAGGGTGCTTTTAAGGTTTTTTCCCCCACAAAAAATCTCTGTGAGGTGGGTGAAGTAATTATGTAGTTGGCAAAGAGCAAATCTTCAGGTCACGAAGACCTGAATTTTAAATTTTCCTCTGACATTTATTAGCTGTATGACACTGAGCGGGTCACAATTTTTTTTTAACTGCAGTTTCTTCATCTGTTAGAAGGAAATCATAACCTTCACAATGACAAATAATAATAAATAGTTAATCATTTAAATTAGTTTGTAGATTAAAATTATCTTGAATAATCTAAAATATTTTAAGATCCATATTTTAAATTATTATTAAACCTTTATAATAATAAAGCATAATAGAATAGAATAATATATAATAATTTTGTTGTTGTTCAATTGTTTTAGTCACGTCCAACTCTTTGTGACCCATTTGGAATTTTCTTGGCAAAGATACTAGAGTGGTTTGCCATTTCCTTCTCCAGCTTATTTTACAGATGAAGAAACTGAGCAACAGGGTTAAATAACTTGCCTAGAGTCACATAGCTAGTAAGTATCTGAGGCTGAATTTGAACTCAGGTCTTCCTGACTCCAAGACTGTTGCTCTATCCACTGCACCACCTAGCTGCTCTAATATATAAACAAACAAACAAACAAATAAAACCTTACTTTGCAGGGTTGTTTATGAGGCTCAAATAGGGCAAGTACTTTGCAAAGTTTAAAGCACTTTACAAATGTCAGTTATTACTGTTATAACTATTCTCCCCCTTCTCTCCCTTATCCCTCCTCTCCTCCACTTCAGAGATGAGAAAACTGAGGTTTACTAGTAATTAAGTGCCTTCTTTTTGGTCACAAAGCTAGTATGGGTCAGATTAAGGACTGGAACCCAGGACTCTCAACTCCCAGGCCAGTACTGACTCTACAAAGTACTAGGTTGCTTTTTGTAACAACATATCAACTCACATATCTATAACCCTTTATTATTTACGAATGCTTTTCCCACAATTAGTCCTGTAGGGTAGATGGTACAAATTTTGTAATACCCATTTTACAGATGAGGAAACTGAGCATCAGAGAGTTGAAATGACTTACCTGGGTTACAAAGCTTTCATAACACCATGATGTCTTTTCCTTACATTTACATTTCCTTAAATGCAAATCTGTATGCAGTGAATTTTCTCTCTCTTTCAATTTCTGAACAATACTGCAGACCACTCTACGAAGAGGCAGAGTGCCTAACAAAAACCTTGTGCTCAGGACTATTGCTTGATTTCTATTAACATTTGTTAATTTTTTTTATTAACTACTTTGAGTCACACTGTTTTGAAAATTTCTTTTATCCTCTCAAAACCACAGTCTACTACTGATAGGGTGATATTTTACATTATAAGCTATCAGTTATTTATTCTTATTTATCCAAATGACTACGAAAACAATGACTGACAGATTCATTCATTCACATTATAGTTAAAACACTTAAATTAATACCTTGTTTAGGCAACTAGAAACTAATGTTAATGTGCTCTTTGGTAAAAAGAAAAATCTATGAAAAGAATTTGTAAACAAACTATGTTAATAACAGTTAACATTTCTGTATGTTTTTAAGGTTTACAAAATACTTTACCTACATTGTCTCATTTGATGCTCTCAACAGGTCTATGAGGTAAGTGCTATTATTCTCCCTATTTTCAGTAGGAAAACTGAAAATGAAAGAGATCAGACAATTTGCCCAAATTCACACAGCTAGTGAATGTGTCTGAGACAAGATTTGAACTCATATCTTCCTGATTCCAAGTCAGCAACAACAACAGTTTCTGTGCTTATTATGTGTTCAACACTACTAAACTCTAAGGCTACAAAGAAAGGCAAAAATAGTCCTTGCCCTAAAGGAATGTACATCCTAATGAAGGAACTCTGGCATTTTACCATTGTACCATGTAGGTGAAATGAATCATTAACTATCATTATTATAATCTTCTTGCACCTGAAAAAAGTTATATAAGTATTTGTTATTCTTGGACAAGGTAGATAATGTGTGTGTGTGTGTGTGTGTGTGTGTGTGTGTGTGTGTGTGTGTGTGTGTGTGGAAAATAGGTGGTCTTTTGTGACTCTTCTTTGCATGCATTACATAAAGGGGTGTCTTACCCAAGATGAATGGTTCTGATGTGTTTCTGGATTCCAGCAGCTGTGCTCAGTACCTTCCCACAGTTTTTCCAAAGGCATTTGAACATTACCTTCATGGAGTTCTATAATGTGAAGAGAAAATTGTATTTAAAATTCAAACTAGTTTGTTAATATTTTCTGTGTTTTCAGATTTCTTTTCTTTCACTACAAAACAAATAAACAAACACCTACAGACTTTCCATCTTTATTATTGTAATATACAGAACATTGGTGTGAATGTGCCAGAAAGATGTCTGTGGAACTATCATTCTTTTTTTTTTAATTAACTAATTTTTAATTTTCAACATTCACTTCCACAAGATTCTGAGTTCCAAATTTTCTCCCCATCTTGCCCCTCCCCCCACCCAAGTCAACATACATTCTGAATACCCCTTCCCCTAATCTGCCCTCCTTTCTATCACCCCCCCATCCCCTTCCCCTTCTATTTTCCTGTAGGGCAGGATAGATTTCTATACCCCATTGCCTATATATCTTATTTCCCAGTTGCATGTGAAAATAATTTTTAACATTTGTTTTAAAACTTTGGGCTCCAAATTTTCTGCCTTCCTCCCCACTCACCCTCATTGAGAAGGCAAGCAACTCGATACGGGTTATACATGTGTAGTCATGCAACACACTTCTATAGTAGTCATGTTGTGAAAAACTAACTATATTTCCCTTCATCTTATCCTGCCCATTTATTCTATTCTCTCTTTTGACCCTGTCCCTCCTTAGAAGTGTTTGCTTCTGATTACCCCCTCCCCCAATCTGCCCTCCCTTCTATCATCCCTCCGCTCTCTTATCCCCTTTCCCACTATTTTCCTATAGGGTAAGATAGATTTCCATACTCAGTTGAGTGTGTATGTTATTCCCTTCTCAAGCCAAATCTGATGAGAATAAGATTTACTCATTCCCTCTCACCATCCCCCACTCTCTCCACTTTAAAAGCTTTTTCTTGCTTGTTTTATGTGAGATAATTTACCCCATTCTACCTCTCCCTTTCTCCTTCTTTCAATATAATCCTCTCTCACTGCTTGATTTTATTCTCCAGATATCACCCCTTCATCTTCAACTCACCCTGAGCCCTCTATCTATCTATACATATAGTTTTCTTCCCTCCAACTCTCCTAATACTGACAAAGGTCTCATGAGTTACAAATATCTTTCTATGTGAATGTAAACAGTTCAACTTTAATAAGTCCCTTATGAGTTCTCTTTCCTGTTTACCTTTTCATGCTTCTCTTGAGTCTTGAATTTGAAAGTCAAATTTTTTATTCAGCTCTGGTCTTTCCATCAAGAATGCTTGAAAGTCCTCTATTTCACAGAATGTCCATTTTTTCCCCTGAAGAATTATGGTCAGTTTTGCTGGGTAGGTGATTCTTGGTTGTAATCCTAACTCCTCTGCCCTCTGGAATACTGTATTCCAAGCCTTGCTGTCCCTTAATGCAGAAGCTGCTAAATCTTGTGTTATCCTGATTGTGTTTCCGCAATACTTGAATTGTTTCTTTCTGACTGCTTGCGATATTTTTTCCTTGACCTGGGAACTCTGGAATTTGGCTACAATATTCCTAGGAGTTTTCCTTTGGGGATCTCTTTCAGGAGGAGATTGGTGGATTCTTTCAATTTCTATTTTGCCCTCTGGTTCTAATATATCAGGGCAGTTTTCCTTGATAATTTCTTGAAAGATGATGTCTAAGCTTTTTTTTTTTCATGGCTTTCAGATAATCCAATAATTTTTAAATTCTCTCTCCTGGATCTATTTTCCAGGTCAGTTGTTTTTCCAATGAGATATTTCACATTGTCTTCTATTTTTTCATTCTTTTGGTTTTGTTTTACAATGTTTTGATTTCTCATAAAGTCATTAGCTTCCATTTGCTCCATTCTAATTTTTAAGGAAGTATTTTATTCAGTGGGCTTCTGGACTTCCTTTTCCATTTGGCCAATTCTGCTTTTTAAGGCATTCTTCTCCTCATTGGCTTTTTATACTTCTTTTGCATTTGGGTTAGTCTATTTTTAAGGTGTTATTTTCTTTTGTATTTTTTGGGGTCTCCTTTAGCAAACTATTGACTTGTTTTTCATTATTTTCTTACATCATTGTCATTTCTCTTCCCAGTTTTTCCTCTACTTCTCTTACTTGCTTCTCAAAATCCTTTTTGAGCTCTTCCATGGTCTGGGACCAATTCATACTTTTCTTGGAGGCTTTGGATGTAGGAGGTTTGTCTGTGTTGTCTTCTTTCGGTTGTATGTTTTGATCTTCTTTGTTACCAAAGAAAGATTCTATGGTCTGACTTTTTTTTCGAGGCTTGGTCATGATCCCAGCCAATTACTTGAGTTTTAAATTTTGTTAAGGTAGGGGTCTGCTTCCAGTGTGGAGAATGTACCCAAGCTTTGGGGGTTTTGTGCAGCTGTTTTCAGAGATACTTCTAGGGACCTGTAAATTTTCAGTTCCTCCAAGGTGCTATGATCAAGGGCGAAGGTGTTTACTCCTTTCCTGGCCTGTGCTCTGGTCTATAAGTGACCACAAGCACTCTTTTCTGCCTTGGAAATGTGAGGAGGATTCCCTCTCCATAGCCACTACAAGCTCTACCATGCCAGCACTCCTCCTCACCTCAGGACCGCCACTCAGAACTGCGACCCAGATCCAAGAACAGGGAAAGCAAGAGAATCCTGTCTCAGCACCAGCAAAGAGATCCCTACAATTCCCCTCTGATGAGCCACTCGATTCCCCCTCCTTCTGTAGCTTGAGAGCTCTGGAAGCAGCCACGGCCCCGGGGCTGCGTCAGGACTGGGGCCTGACCGTGCTTCTATCTCACTTAAGTTCAACAGACTTTTCCTACTGACCTTCTAAGTTGTCTTTGGCGTTTGTGGGTTGAAAAGTCTGGAAATCACCACAGCTGCCCATGATTCAGTCCCATGAGGCCTGCTCCAGGTTCGCTGAGGCCTGGTCTTTGCCTGTGCGCCCACGCTGAACTGCACTCCTCTCCCAACCAGTGCAACAGACCTTTCCGATCAACCATTCAGGTTGTCTTGGGCGGGAAATTTGTTTCACTCTGTCTTTTTATGGGTTCTGCTGCTCTAGAATTTGTTTAGAGCCATTTTTTACAGGTATTTGGAGGGGTTTGGGGGAAAGCTCAAGCAAGTCACTGCTTTTACTCTGCCATCTTGGCTCTACCTCCCCATTCTTTTTTTTTTAACAAAATTTTATTGATGCCTTTTTAAAATATGACAGTCATTCCTGATTATACTCTGCCCTTTCTCCTCCCTGGACCTCCTGCTGTACCTTCCTTTACAACAAAGAAAAAAAAACAGTTAAGCCAAACACCTGACAAAGTATCTAGGTAAGAAAGATGTGCGCCCTTCTGCCTGAGCAGTCCCCTCCTCTCTGCCAAGAGGATCGTGGTATCTTGGAAGCAGGTGTGGAAGGGAACACGAAGAGGTCAACTAGTCCAGTGGTATCAAACTCCAATAGAAACAGTTTCCTACCCACTGAAAAATGCCTTAGAAAATGACAAATTAACATGGTCTACGCTGCATTGTGTTTTCATTTATTTTTTTAAACATTTCCTAATTATGCTTTAATCTGGTTCCCTGCCTTACTCTTTTACTGCCGGATTGTGTGACAACTCTAACCTAGTTCATCCTTCCATTTCATAGGGGAAGAAGGCAGGTTTCATGTCTGTCCACTGAGGCCCTTGCTCATCTGAAAACATCATTCTGTGCAAACACCTCCATACACTGAGTGTTCCTGTGATCTTGGACATTTCCCCAAATTCCTTGATCACTGAACTTGGAATCAAAAGATCTGAATCTGAGTCATGCTACTTAATAGCTATATGGCTTTTGGCAAATTGCTTAAGTACTTAGTAAACTGGAAATAGTTACATCTACACTATCCACCTTACAGGGTTTTGTGAGGATCAAGTGAGATAATGTTAGTCAGCTAGTCAACATGCACTAAGTGTCTACTATGTGCCAGGCACTGTGCTAAGGCCTGATCTGATGATGCGATTCTAGGCTTATAAGATACTGTATAACATAAATTATTATAAGTGAGGTCAGTTGTTTAGGCGCTGTGGAGTCAGGAAGATCTGGCTTCAGGTTCTGCCTGTGGTATGATACAATTCTATGTCTACAAAATACGATGTGAATATAAGTTATTTAAGTGGTGTTGGTAATTTAATGGCCTTTGAGCCAGGAAAATCTGGCTTCAAGTCTTGCCTTACAGACTGTGTGATCCTGGGCAAGTCATTTAACCTTTCGGTGGCCTAGGCAATTCCTTAAGACTATAAATGCAGAGTAGTTGCCCATCAGCATTGGGAGCTTCCTCTTAGTGAGGCCCCTACACCAGTTACATCACAGGACTGGACCCAAGAGAGTTGGGTTAATAATATTTGAATTGCTTATATCATCACATCATGGATAGAAATGTGAGCTGTATAAAAAGAAATAACCAATGACTCCTGGTAGAACATTCCTGTGCATGTTTCCTGAAGTGAAATCCCACTGACAATAGGCTATGCAATGGAGAATCTTCTCTCCATTGGTTATATACTTCTTGTGAAAAATAGTTCATTAGATGGAACAAGGACTCAAAGAAAGAAAAAGTTTCCTTGATTGATAATAAAAACAAAAACAGTAGACAGGGACTTCCATCTCCATTGGAATGTTCCAAAGGTTTACGAAATGATAAAAGTCTTTGGAGACTCACACAGCTGAGGTTGGCTGCACTGTCCTGGAAATGCTTGCTTTGGGCCCTGCTGGCTGAGGACAATGGGCAGAAACACGGCTTCAATCTGCCAAAGCAGATTAGCTATGTCTGAAGCAACACACCATTCATAAAGGGCTTTGCACGACTAGTGGGCCACTCTTTTCAAGAGGCTCTTTCTGGAAGCTGGCACACTCACAGTACAGTAATGTAGCTGTTCCTTAGCCCTCTCAAAGCTTCAATGCATTACAAACAGCTTGTTGACTAATCCCCCTGAAATGTGCACTATTTAACTACAACAGCCACTAGAGCTAGGAGTTGTTAAAGGTAGCTGTGGGACAAAGACATGATTAGGTGATTTCAAAGTACAAGATCCTT